AAGAAGCTTTCCAATTAAGTTTGTGATGAAAAGGAGAGAAAAAATAGGCATAAATCAAAAAGGTTGGTAGGACAGAAGTGTTCAATGTCATCTTCTTATAAAAGAGGCCCAGGGAGCTTGTTTGTGTTCTTCCAGCACATGAAGAATCAAAGAAGTCCTATGTGGAAAGAGTCCTCAGCATATACCAGATCTGTCAGCACCCTGATCATGGACTTTCTATCCTCCATTAACTATGGAAAATAAAATTATGTCATTTATAGGCTATTTGTTTATAATATTTTGTTACAACATCCTGAATAGATGAAGGCAAGTTTTATAGTAGTGATTGTGTTCTTTTTAAATGGGTGAATTTTGTAGTATGTAACTATCATCTGCTTTTAAAAATATACTTATTTCATAAAAACAATGAATTTTTTGCCTTAAATTGTATTCGATATTATCAGTGTGGTTGAATATCTGAAGCAGGTTAAGATGAATGGCCCCCATCTGAAGACCTTTCCACCTGAGTATCCATCCCATGTGCAGATGCTGATGGTAGATGCTGATGTGGAAGTCAGGAAGTGCATGCTGATAAGAGCCTGATATGGATGTCTCCTCAGAGGCCTTCAAGAGTCTGACATACTCAGAGGCAGATGCTCACAAGTAGCCATTGAACTGATCATGGGGTTCCCAATGGAGGAGTTAGAGTGAAGACCATTGGAGCTGAAAGGGTTTGTGGCCCCATGAGGAGAGCAACAATACCAACCAACCACAGCTCCCAGGGTCTAAACCACCAGCCTGGGAGCACTTAGGGAGGGATCCAGGGCTTCAGCTGAATATGTAAGAGTGGAGGGCCCTGCTGGGCATAGGGGGAAGATGAGATCCTTGACCTCATGAAGGCTGGATGCCCCAGGGGGTGGGAATTTTGAGGGTGGGGAAGTGGGAGTGGGGGAGTAGGTAGGGGTTACATCCACAGAGAAGAAGGAGGAGGGGTAAGAGGATAGGGGGTTCCCGGGTGGGTGGAGGATGGGGTAAGGGGACAACATATGAAATGTAAATAAAACATCCAATAAAAAAATTTAAAAAAAACTCAAAAAAAAGAGATGAATGGCCCCCATATGCTCATGTAGTTGAATGCTTGGTCATCATGGAGTAGCACTACTTTAGATTAGGAAGTCTAACCTTGTTGGTAGGGTGAGTAGGTGTAGCCTAGTTGGAGGAAGTATGTCACTGGAAATTGGCTTTGAGGTTTAAAATCCCAAGCCAGGCCCAGTGGCTTGCTTTCTTCTTAGATGTAAAGCTCTCAGCTCCTTCTCCAACACCATGTTTACCTGCACATCACCATGCTCCCCATCACGATGACAATGTTCTAAACCTCTGAAACTGTAAGCAAGCTCCAATTAAATGCTTTCTTTAATAAGAGCTACCATGGCCATGGTGTCTCTTCAAATTAGTAGAACAGTGAGTGACCAAGACAATATCTTTTCAAGAAATTGTGTGCACTGACATGTTCTCCTTTTTTTTTTTTTTTTTTTTTTGGTTTTTCGAGACAGGGTTTCTCTATGTAGTTCTGACTGTCCTGGAACTCACTCGGTAGACCAGGCTGGCCTCGAACTCAGAAATCTGCCTGTCTCTGCCTCCCAAGTGCTGGGATTAAAGGCGTGCACCACCACCGCCCGGCTGACATGTTCTCCAGAAGTCAATATTGCTATTTTTTATTTGGGAGTAAAACAGCAATTCATTATAATCTTAATTTGTATTCAGTCCATATCTTCCAATGTATATTGGCTGCCTTAGTCACCATTCTATTGCTATGAAGAGACACCATGACCAAGGCAACTTTTATAAAAGAAAGCACTTAATTGCAGTCTTGCTTACAATTTCAGAGGTTTAGTTCATTATCATCATGGCAAGGAACATGGCAGCATACAGGTAGGTGCTGGAGCAATAGCTGAGAGCTACAGTCTTATTTGTAAATGGAGATAAGGAGGGTGGTACTGGGCCTGGCTTGGGTTTTTGAAACCTCAAAGCCCACCCCCAGTGACATACTTCTTCCAACAAGGCCACATCTACTCCAAAAAGGCCACACCTCTTAATCCTTCTAAGTCTACTCCTTGGTGACTAACAATTCAAATATACAAGCCTATAGGGGCCATTCTTATCAAAACCACCATTGACTCTGTATGTTTCCTCCATAGTGATATATTTATTCATGTCTTTTGACCAGTTCTTTACTGGACTTTTTCCTTGTTAATTTGTAGTCCTTTTGTTGCCATGAAATGTCTACCCCCATTCCTTCTAAGGTACCAATGCCAAACCAAAGTTGTAGTCTATGAAAGTTCTTCCTGGAAAACCAATGAGTTTATTGGGCTTACTTACAGAGCAAGGGTGACAGGTCACTGATTAAACCAAAGCAGCTCCACTGGAAAGCCTTTACCCCCACATGGATGATGGCTTCCCTATAGCCACACAGATGGAGCTTCATTTTGTTAACCTTCCTCAGTCTATATACTCTAGTCCCTCCCAAGACCCAGAACAATTAGAACAAAATTATATACAACTGATTGACAGGAATGGCTGAATACTCAAGAGTCCTACAGCCTCCCATGTGCCCTCCTCCTTCTATAAGAGTAGGTTAACAGTCAACAAACCCAAGTATGATGATCTTTTGCTAACAGACATAGATGAATTAATGAAGATGGTGGCTATTTGGCTAAGAGGATAGAGCTGTATAATGTCTTTATATATTCATAATAGAATCCTTTGTTGCTTTTATGTATTGGAAATGTCATTATATTTGTTTGTTCTTTTGTGTATCTACATGTATATGTGAAAGATACAGAGAAAGGTGTATACACCCACATATCTATAGATTCACAAACCCCATGCATATATAGAAATTGGAGGATGACCTTATGTGTTGTTCTCTATCATTCTTCACCCTAATTTCCTTAAGATAGGATCTCTTACTAACTCTGGAGCTATGCTGGCAGCCAACAGATCCTCTTATTTCTCCTCATAGCTCTGGGGTTACAGGCATGTTTGGCCATGACCAGCTTTTTAAGTGGATGCTGGGCGTTTAAAATTCAGGTCTTCATGCTTGAACAGTAAGTTATCCTAACCAGTGAGTCATCTTCCCATTGTCTTATACTTTGGGGATTGTTTGTTTTTGGGAAAGTGTCTGGTGTAGCTCAAGTTGTATTCGAATTAACCTTGTAGCAGAAGCTAGATTTAAACTCAAGATTCTCCAGTATCTACCACCCAAGTACTGAGATTAGAGGTAAGTGCAACTATGTCTAATTCTCTTTTGTTTTGAAAAAGTTCTCCCAAACAACTGGAGCAGGAGCTATCCCAAAAGCTGTTGCCTGTCTGTGGGATATGTTCTTCTAGCTGGGCTGCCTTATCTGGCCTCAGTGGGAGAGGATGCACTTCTCCTCACAGAGAGTTGATGTGCCAGGATGGGGAAATATCCAGGGGGCACCCACCTACTCAGAGGAGAAGAGAGAATGGGGGAAAAAATTTTGGGAGAGGTGACTAGGAGAGGACAGTGAGCAGGATGCAAAGTGAATAGGTACAATAATGTATAGGTATAGATTAGATATAGAAAGAATAATAAAGATTTGATGATGTGTCATGTTACAAAAATATATCATTACATTTTTCTCAAAAAATATATATACTCATACATCCATATATTTAAGTGGAATAAAATATTCTGATCTTTTAAAGTTATTTTTCCTTATTTATTTATTGTTTTTGTTTTGAGACAAAGTCTTATGTATCTTAGGTTGCCCTCAAACTTACTGAGTTAATGAAAATGACTTTGAACTTCTGATTCTATCACCTCCACCTCCCAAATGCTAGGATTATAGGCATGCGCTGTCATGACTAGTGTGTGCATTTCTGAGAGTTGAACCCAGGGATTTTGCGTGCTAACTAAGCAGTCTGCCAACTAAAGTTCATCCTCATTGCATATCACATAAAGCAAGGTTCCAATTTCATCTTTTCCAGTTCTACCCTCAGTTAATGAAAGGCCTTATTTACTCACCTAGCTGTTTTTATTGTTGGGTACCCTTGTATATGTGCACAGGTATGTTACATAGTTGTCTACTCTGTAACATTGCTCAATGTATTCCCTTCTATACCAATCTCTCCTCCTTTGCCCTTCTCCCCTCCCCTTTTCTCTTCTCTCCTCTTCTTCTTCTCTCTCAACACCTAAAAGTAATTCCTCCAGGAACAGGGGGAGGGTATAAGTTACCAATCATGTGAGCTCTGGGTTTTAGGACGATTCCCAAGGAGTCTTTAAACCCAGTAAACATTCATTTTGTTCAGAAAGCCTTTCATTAGCCTCCAGAACATTTGGAAGTTTAGGGCGTTTGCTCCGATTCGTGAAGATTATTTGTTCCATTTGCTTTTGCTGATTCCTAGAAATTCTGTGGCATTAACAGCAGGAGATCTGGCCTAAGGTAAATAAAACCAGTTTGCTCTTGAGGGCAATCCCATCTTTCCTCACTGAACAGCATATACCAATGTAAATGATGGTACCAGAAGCACACTTTCACAAGTCTAAACCTGAAAAGGTGCATCGGCCTTGGGACCACTGATTTAAGAGCCCCTACATTCTTCAGGGCAGCTGGCTGATTCCTGATGTCGGGAGCAATCTGGATGTAAAATTCACTCCTGGGTTGCCTCAGCTAGGAACCAGGAGGCTTGCTAGTTGCAACTCGTGGGTGGTAAAGGGGCGGCAGTTCCAGTAGCTGGACATTTCGGGATCCGCTCCGGTAGTTCACAGACCGCGCGAGTTAAGAGATGGAAGCTCCTGTCTCCGAATTTTCTTTTAGGGATGCTGGCTGCGCATCTCCACAGGGCCCGCAGAGGCGTGGCTAGAGCGGAGCTTCCAAGCAACGCTAAACTGCGCCTTCTCCAATCGCTAAGCACAAGATCGGCCAAGGCGTGGGTGGGTTTAGGGGCGGGCCAGGGTGGAGAGTAGGCGGGGCGTGGGTACTGCTCTGCTTGGCGCTCTTGGCTCCCCGCGCAGCTCTTGATCCCTACCTCCTCCGCGGCCTCAGTTTCGCTCGCCTCTGAGCAGGCCGCAGTTCCCTGATTTGTGATTCCTGGGCTCAAAGCTCTGCGGCTACTGCGTTTCTGGGTGTCGCTGCTCCTGAGAGATGACGCTCAAGTCGAGCGAAGGCGAGGGAGGGAACAGCATGCGCACCGCACTCTCGGACCTCTACCTGGAGCACTTACTACAGAAGCGCAACCGACCTGAGGTTAGCGGGACCCCTGGAGTCCTTAGGGTTCGGGTTGGGTCTAGGCTCCAGGCCTTTCCATCTGCTGCTGGATATTTCCTATCCATGGCCTTGTTCCCAAGCACTCTGTCCCGGGACGGCCAGATCTTGGGTGTCCTGGCCCCAGGGTGAGGCCTTAGCATTGGGCCCGATTCTACTGAGATCTGGGTGTGGTGGATAGTTGCCTGGAGCAGCTTTCCTAGGCGAAAATCCGGAGAGGCTGGCCAAGACTAAATGCATACTTGAGGTCAAAGAAAACTTGCTCATGGATGGAAGTCAAGTAACAGACTTGAAGAAGAAAAATAAGACATTAAGGAACACATCCAATAGTAGATCGGCCTGGTTGTTGTTGAGCGCTTGTGTTCAGTTTCACAGACGTGGTTGTGAAAACCAACTTCGTGCTCTAAAAAGCTCACTCATGTCCCTCTTCATTTCATTTCAGCAGGTCTCCTTGTGCTCCTTGTAAACTAGGGTAGCCTTCATATTCCAGTGTTAGACAGTAAATAGTTATTCATCTTCTGTGTCAGAGAGGCCTACAGAGGTGATTGTGATTATATTCTGTGTAACATGTCTCCCCCTCTCCATTCAGTAGCTTATAATGCTAAACCACCTACTGACCCTGCTCCCTCTACTCTCTAGTCCCTTCTCCTGGAAGATTTATGGTGCTGCTTGTGATTCAGTGAAGATGGCTTTGTGATAGGAAGGTACAGCTATTAAACAACATATATTACTTACACAAAATGTTCAAAGATGATACTAGATGAAACTGAGGAAAATAAAACCAAAAACTCCTGTAGGAATGGTAGCTATTATGTGTTTTGATCACTTCTTTTTTTTTTTAGATAAAGGGAAAAAGAAAAAGTGAATAATTGGTAAGAAAAATCCATATTATGAAAGTTGTATTGTGGTTCCCCAATTCTGGAGCTGTTTCCTTTTCCCTACCTCTGGTGTCATTTCCCCTCCCCAAGCCAATTTTGGAAGTATGGTTATTTAATCTTGCCTTTCGATGCTCCACACCCAAAGTCCTCTTTTAGTAACACTGACAGAGCAATTCACTGCTTAGGGGAAGAAACTGTGCACCAATTAAATGTCAGCAAATTTTATCTCTCCTGCTGGTAAGTAGGAGGACATTTTGCTTTTTTGTTTGTTTGTTTATCTGTTTGTTTCTTGTTTTGAGACTTGATCTCACTCTAGCTCAGGCTAGCTTGTAGCTTACTCTATTGCCGCAACTGGCCTTGAATTCCTTGCAATTCTCCTGCCTCAGCCTCCTGAGTTTATAGACACTATAGGCATGAGCGAACATGTCAGACTTCAGGACATTTTTAGTGTCACAACTAGATGGATTTATTTTTACAGCAAGAAATTATCAGACCTCCCCCAAAGTGTCATGACTGCTGAAGAAAACATCTGTTCCTGGTGTTCTAGTTTAGTGTCTTATTTAAGGCGAAGAAGATTAACAGACTATACTAGGTACTGAGAAAACTGGGGCAAAGACTAAATAATTTGAAAATGGTACTTTATTTTTTAGTTTAAATTCTCTGAAAACACAAACATTGAATGGAAATATCCTCTTCAAATGAAACAACCAGACCTAAGAAGGAGCTCTTTCTCTGGTAGACTGATAATGAGGAGCAGACTCACTGACCATGCTCCGTACTGACTCAACCAAGACTTGTTTTCTGCTATTGTACATGGAATGTATAGCATTGAACCTTGGTGTCTCTGCACAGGCTGTTCTGTTTTGCCTCTAGTCCTGTTTGCCCCTTAAATCCTGGATTCTACAAAGTGCAGGCTTCAGCAATGATACTTGACAGTGCTTCATAGCCCCCTACACCTCCTTCAGAGGAAACATCTGCAGCACAGTTCAAAGGGCAGAGACAGTTTCTCAAAGGAAGTTGAAATAAAAAAAAAGATTAAAAAAAGTTGGCAGGGGTAGGAGTAGTGGGGGTGAATAGAGCAGGGGCAACTACAGTTAACTTTCTCATTTAAACCAATTGGCTTCAGAACAAAGTGACAGTGAACTACTGAGCACAGGAATGAACAAACATTTGTTCAGCCTACTGTTAGGCTCATTGCCAACTGCTTCCACATGGTGACATTAGAATGTCCAGTCCAAGGAAATGAATGACTCTAAATACAGAAGAGCCTAGGAGCTCCTTACTACCACCTGCCAGCCTTGTGTAGCCCCCTGACTAAACCACAAGTACCCACTCTTCACATGGACATCTGTTTCACTTTGTGAGTGGGAAAAACTACAACAAAAAATTTATAAAAGCCTTGAGAAAACCAACAATTCACCAAGGAAGTATAGAGATTAGAACTATTTGACTCTAAATGATAAGAACTGGAGCAACAGGAAGGCTCAAGAATCAGGATTTTTTTCTGACAGGTATTGTCTTCAAATAATACATTAACTAGAGCTTTGTTTGTCAGGTACTAAATACATCTATCAATCCAAAGGCCATATGTTTAAAGGTCTTTGGCTGATCTGCTTTATCTACCTAATACACTCTGGACATATACACAGGCTTCTTCCAACTGAAACTCAAGCAGCTCCATTTTACCTCAAACACCAGACTGTATTTCCAAATACTTGACACTTGGTTCCTGCATAGCCACTTGACCAATGTTGGGACTGTGTATAAAACATCATTAAGTTAACCATTCTCTTTTTTTAATAGATGTGGTTTTTGTTAAAGACATGGTCTCACTATGTAGCCTTGGCTGGCCTGGAATTAACTATGTAGACCAAGATAACTTCAAATTCAAAGAGATCTGCCTGTCTCTGCCTTCAGAGTGCTAGGATTAAAAGCATGCCTTTAATCTAAGCATGCCTTAAAACTTACCATGCCTGGCAGTTTTTGTTGTTTGTTCTGTTTTGTTTTTAAATGGAGTCCCACTGTATAGCCTAGACTGGGCTCAAGCTCTCGGCAGACCTCCTTGTCTCAGCCTTCTGAGAATTGAGATTACAAGCTTGTACAACCAGGCCTAGCTGACTAAAATTAAATTCTTCTCTCTACTTTGTGATCAGTCTTTGAAGGCAAAATTAGGGCTTTGAAACCATTTTCACTAAAATAATTTATTAGCCTTAGACTCCAGAATTAAGTTAAAATATGAGCACAGAATTGAAAGTTCAAGAAGACAGCATAAAACCGGGCCTTGTTTTGCAGCCCAAGATTGTTGAAAACTTTGTACTGCAGATTACCCTCAGACTTACCTTCCCATGTGCTAGGATTACAGTTATGTGCTACCATACTTAGTTTATAAATAATATTTTATTGAAACTGTATAATAAATTTTGAAACTGGTTGGACTGATATTTCTTACTTTCTTATTTTTCAAAACTAGTTTAGCTACTCATAGGTTTATGCCCTTCTATCATATTTGCAATTTTTAAAATGTCAAAATGTATAGAGGTACTTTGATTATAACTTGCATAGACCAAGTGAGTGAAACCACTTATGTATGAGAAAAATAATACCTGGTACAGAATTATTGGCAGCTGACTGACCAGCCACTGGTCCTAGGCAGAAGTGGAGAACATGATAGCTGGGTCACCTTGACTGAGTCTCTTGGTTTTTTTCTAACTAAACAAATCAAAGTTAGGTAGTCAAAAATAAAGAAATTTATAGTTGAACATTGCCATGCCTTTAATCCCAGCACGAGGGGTGGAGCAGATACAGGATGTTCTTTGTGAGTTTCAGTTTTAGGCCAGCCTGGTCTACAGAGCTAATTCCAGGACAGCCAAGGCTACATAAAGAAACCCTGTCTCAAAAAACCAGCGAGAGGGGAACAAGAAAAAATTATATATTTTTTGATTTGCTGCCAAGCAGTACAGATACTACCTTTGATGCTCACCTTTCTAAGGGGACAAGATTAGGTACTTTCTTCATTTCTTTAAACTTCTTAGCCTCTATCACATATATATCTTAATTTGTCGCAGTCCTTGCATTTATAATGTTCTTTATAACTATTTCAAGATTTGTCTGTGTGTGGATTCTAAAATGTAAGTCAGTAAGTGGTTTTTATATTGTTGTAATTGGTTACTGAACTAATGTTTCACATTTCCCAGATCTTTGATATTGTTTGGGATGGCAAGATGTCCAACCAAATTCTTATTTTCCGGCCTTTTTTGCAGCTCTGGTTGTGGGGCTGTGTTCTGCAGCTCTGGCCAATGAGACAAGAAAAGCTGTCCTCTGGGGGAAGTTCTGAGCTGGAACCAACTGACCTGGCCTCTCTGCCCTTCTTGCCTTCAAGGTGGAGCTGATTGATAGTCACATATAATAGACTAAGGAGTGAGAGAGGAGGAGATCCACATAAGTACTCAGACTGCCAACTTAACTGGAAATCCTACTCATGTCAGAAAATTCATCTTGCCAGTTATAGAAAGGAATGTGTTTTTGAGAGCTTGGTGGGAACAGTAGACTTTCATTTTTCTGAATAGAAAGTAATCATTGTGACATAAAAATGGTGGGATACATGAGGATTTGAATGCTGAGCATTTTCTTTAGTGGCTTCTTTTGGTATTGTTAGAATGTCAGCACTCCCAACAAGATAGCTGTACAGCAACATAGTAATCATAGCTCACATTTACCCAGTGCTTCTAAATTATGTTAAGCTTGCAACCCAGTAAAGTCCTTATGTTACCATCCTCACTTTTACAATTGAAGAAACAGAAATGGAAGAAGGTCAAGAATCCAAAGTTACCAGCCATTAGTAAAAGAGCCAGGAATCTAACCCAGACAGTGTGTTTTTCTGTTAAGAAGTGTGTCTCAGGTTTTTAAGTTCTACTTATTTTTTTTTTTTGCTAAATTATATTCTTAAAGTAATTTAAACACATAGTGCACAATTTGGAAGATATGGTGAGTAGTTAGCCCATGAAGTCAATTTCCTCTGTCTTGTAGCCAACCAATTTCCCCCTTCCTAGAAACAACCACTGTTCCTTCCAGACATTATTTGTATGTTCTAAGAAAATGTGAATACATTCATTTTTCACTATTTATGGTGAAGCTAGCATAATTGTCTTCAAATTGTTTTATTTTCCACATAAACAGATGGTTTCAAAATTACCTCAGAGCTTCCTTGTCATGGCTACATGGTGTCTTCCCATGCAGTGACTGTAGTGTCATTGAATTGTTTGTGGTAGATTACCTGGGAATTGTGTGAAGTTGTGTGTTGCCAGGTATTCTAAGTTATTTTTCAAATTACAACTCCTTTTCAACATTTTTGTTGCAACATAAATGCCATGTGATAGTGTCATGTGAGTTTTGGGACATTTTAGCTGCTAAACAAGACAGTTTCTCAACACTTCCTCATCTGGAAATTACACAGTAAGTGACACTATGTCAGTCCTCATTTTTTTTCTTTTCTTTTTTTTTTTTTAGTTAGAAAGGAAGCAGTAAATTAAGAGGTCTTTGTGGAAAGCACACCTACAAGACATACTTCTCTCCTTAAGTTTCTAGACCAGATCTCCTTGTCTGTCATCTGTCCATTCTACCATGCTCATGGCCAGACATTCCTACTCAAGATTCTTTTTTCCCCCAGAAAAATGAATTGGCAAAATATATTTTTCACAGCTCTGTTTATTGAGAAGACCTTCTAAATCTCCCCAGTGTCCCTGTGTGTGGATAGTATATAGCTGCTCTCCATTTTCACTTTGTACCCAAATACCAAGCTTACACTAGTTCTTCCTCCTATGGCTTGCTGTGTAGGTTTTGATTTGTTATTTTATGCACAAACATTTGTGGGTAAGAAACGCAAGATGTCTTCATATTATTCTCAAATAATCCAAACTTAAAGTTTTATGACATTAAAAAGCAATGCTGGTTGGTGGTGGCACACACCTTTAATCCCAGCACTCAGGAAACTGAGGTAAACAGATCTCTGAGTTGGAGGCCAGCCTGGTCTACACAGTGAGAGTGAGTTCCCGAACAGCCAGGGTTGCACAAAGAAACCCTGTCTCAAAAAGAAAAAAGAAAACAAAAGAAAACCAAACCAAACAAACAACACACAAAAGAAAAACAAGCAAAAAAAGCAATACTACAAGATCTATACAAGATTGAGCCTATCAGGATTTCTTCATGGATATATGATACCCTCCTTCTAGGTCTATTGACCCAGTGGGGTGATGTAGTTAATAATAAGTTGCCCTTGCTCCAATCAATGACCTTCTGTCTCAGTGGAGAGACCCCAAGTTTATGTGCCTATCTGCAGGTATAAGAGTTCCAGTTCTAGACTCAATGGCTTGCCTTTTTATTCTTTAAAAAAAAACTTTGTGTGTGTGTGCTGTATGTTTACATGCATACAAATGTGTGCCATCATGCACTAACATAGGACATGTGTCCTATCACTTTCTAACTTATTTTCTTGAGGCAGTCTCTCACTGAACCCAGAGTTAAACTGATGGCCAGTAAGCACTGCTGATCCTCTTGCCTTTGCCCCAGATACTGATGGAATTATAGTTGGCCATACTGGGCTTTTTATACGAGTGTTTGGGATTTAAAGGTATTAGTGCTTGGGCAGCAAACAGTCTTACCTACTGAGCCAGCTCCCTTTTCATTCTCCACCTTTTAAAAAATATTTATGAGTTTATGAGTTTTCTTCCTCCTATTTCTAGTTTATGAGTTTGGGTGTTTTCACCTGTGGCCAAAAAGGGTCATCAAATGCTCTAGAAGTGGAATTACAGGTAGTTATGAGCATCATGTGGGTTCTGGGTTTTCTGCAAGAGCAACAAAATTTTGTTCTAAAATCTCACATACATTTTATCATGTTGTACATATTCTTTTTTAATAGGACTTCCTTTATTCAACGGGTTTCTGAATTCATTCATTATTTTGTAGTTTGAGCTCTTGAATGCATGGACAACTGGCTTGTGTATTGTCCTGTGGTTCAATACCTTTGTTGTTTCGTTTTGTGTGGACTATTGAGAACCTAATGCTGCTATGTATATCTGTATACAAGCTTCTGTGTGGACAAATGTTTTCATTCATCTTGGATGAACCATTAAAAGTAGGATTACTGGACCACAGAGTAGTTGGGTATTTTCTTTCAGACCTTCTAGTAGACATATATAGTCATTCTGTTATTTTGGGTATTTATTTTATTTTTTTGAGATAGGGTCTCCTGTGTAGACCTGACTAGCTGAAACTCTCTGTGCAGCTGAGGCTTGTTTTGAACCTGCAGCAGCTTCCTTGTCTCTACCTCTTGAGTGCTGGTATAACAGGCATGTATTACCACTTCTGGCATTTGTGGTTCTAATTTAATCTATACTTCCTTGGTTACTGTGATGTAGACCACTTTTTCATGTGTTTTTATGTAGTCATATATCTTTTCTAATGAGTAATCTGTTCAAATCTTTTGTCTTTTCATTGAACTTTTATCTTTTATTATCTTGTTATTCAGTATATTCTGGATACAAGTCCTTTGTTAAATTGCAAACTTTTACTCTCAGGCCTTACATGCCTTTCCAGTTTCTTGTTTGTTGAGATGAGGTGAGGTGTCACTGTGCTGTCCAGCTTGATCTCAAATTCCTGGATTGACTTTAGCCATTCTCCTGCCTCAGGCTCCTAAGTAGAGGGAGTACCGTGCTTATCTCTTATTCATCTGCTTTTGTTTGTTTTTGTTTTGAGACAGGGTCTTATTTTGTAGGTGACATTAAACAGTGTAGTACAAGCTGGAACCAAACCCCTCCACCCCACCGAATGCTGAGATTATAGGCATCTACCACTAAGCTCTGCTTGGTCATGTTTGTGGTTTTATTTGGACAAAAGAGGGCTTTTTTTTTTTTTGGTTTTTCAAGACAGGGTTTCTCTGTATAGCCTTGGCTGTCCTGGAACTCACTCTGTAGACCAGGCTAGCCTCAAACTCTCGAACTCAGAAATCCACCTGCCTCTGCCTCCCAAGTGCTGAGATTAAAGGCGTGCACCACCACTACCCGGCTAAGAAGGCATTTTTTATTCAGGGTTTTTCTCTGTAGTCCAGGCTAGCCTTGAGCTCACGAATGTCTAGCCTCTACTTCTATATGTATTTTTTTGATGAAAGATATTATGTTTGGTAAAAATCAATCCTTTTATTTTATGGTTATTGATCTCTGTGTCTTTTCTGCTAACATTTTACACAATCCAGTGGAATCTTTTGGTGAGCATGTTTCTTAAATTTTTATGGCATTTATCTTTTCAGACTTTATTTTATGACTAGATGTTTCCATATCATGTATTATAAAATATTTTGACTACTCAAGGTATTGAAGGAATTTTTTCTTCTTAGAATTTATCTGCTTTACCTTTTACATTTGTATCTGGAACCCATCTGTAACTGAGTTTTGTATGTAAACTGAAGCATGAGTCCGATTAAAATCCATTTTTCTGTATTTTTTCTTGATTGATCTTACACTGCTTATCATGCCAAGAAAGAGAGTAACTAAGTCTTGAACTGTCTAAAGTGCCTGTCACTGTATGGTTGTTTTGCCTGCATTTTTGTCTGGTTACAACATGCATGCCTGTGTCAGCAAAGGTAAGAAGAGGACATCAGATCTCCTAGGACTGAAGTTATAGACAGTTGTGAACTGCCATGTGAGTGCTGAAAATTGAACCCAAGTTCTCACAAAAAAACAGCCAGTGCTGTTAACCACTGAGCTATCTCTTAATCCCACAGAATATTTTTTAATAAAAATAATTTCTTTATCTGCAATGACCTCATAAGATGTGTATATTAAATCGAATAAAGAAGTTTACAAACAGCTTCACATGGACTCAAATGAGAGTAAATGTCAACCTTATAAAAGAACTGGATTTTCAGCCGGGCAGTGGTGGCACATGCCTTGGATCCCAGCACTTGGGAGGCAGAGGCAGGTGGTTTTCTGAGTTCGAGGTCAGCCTGGTCTACAGAGTGAGTTCCAGGACAGCCAGGGCTACACAGAGAAACCCTGTCTCCAGAAACAAAAACAAAAGATCAAAAGAACTGGATTTTTCAAAGCTTTTTGGATTCTAATTACAGATTGTTGATTGACTATGGGGTTTTACTGCTTATTTTATCCATTAATCTATTTTTATTTGACAGACTTCATTGAACCAGTCAAATGTTGCCACTGAGGACATGTACACCAATGGGTCCACTGCTCCAGGTAGCCCTGCCCATGCCAAAGGGCAGGAGGCACGGAGAGTTCGTCTCATACAATTTGAGAAGATCACAGAAGAGCCCATGGTAATCTCTTGTCCTATTGTCCTTCATCACTTACACTCTACTGATGAAGTCATTGGGCCATAAGAATATATGCCAAAGGCCACTCGTGGAATTGTACAAACTGCCAACTTTACTGCTGTGTTTCTTTGTCCCCATTTCAAGCTCCTTTCAGAACAAGCTTCTTGCTTTTTACTTAAGAACTGTCCATGATATAGATGGAAATGATTTTCCTTGCAAAATTTCCTTAAGATGCTTTAAAGATGTCCTCAGAAAGGGCTTAAAACAAAGTTTACTTTTTCATTGCCTTTATTCCAGGGAATTACTTTGAAGCTGAATGAAAAACAGTCATGTACTGTGGCCAGAATTCTCCATGGTGGCATGATTCATAGACAAGGTACTCTGGCAGGGAGGAGGGGTTCTAAGTCTAATTTTACCCTGGGATTAATTATTTACTCTCTGTTCAGTGGTTTGGGACAAGAAGCTTATAGTCCTCAAAACTAATAGCATTTTCATGAACATGCCAAGAGATTCTTTGGCTTAAAAATTGACTCTTTAAACCAAGCATGGAGATGCATTCCCAACACCCAGGAGGCAGAGGTAGGCAGATCTCTGAGTTTGAGGCCAGCCTAGCCTACAAAGCTAGTTCCAGGACAGTCAGGGCTACACAGAGAAACCGTGTCTCAAAAAACCAAACCAAACAAACAAACAAAACCACCTGACTCTAGAAAACTTCATGGTAAGATCTTAGTATGAATTCTGAACCCTCCCTCCACACACACACACACACACACACACACACACACACACACACACACAC